TGTGTGTGTTTGAGAGAGAGAGAGAGAGAGAGAGAGAGAGAGAGAGAGATTGCAAAATTTTTAGTTATATAAATTCATCCAATTTTTAGTAATTAATAAATATTTTTATTAATATTGTTTTAGAGAAATATTATAAGCAATTAAATCAATAAAAGTTATATAAAAAAAAGTTCATTAAAATTATAATTAATATGTGATATATTTTGAAACATAAAGTAAAGTTCAAAACCATTAAACTGATCGGTAAACTCGGGTAAAGTAAAGCTATAGTGAAACTCATCGCCGATAGTTATAACCCCACGAACTGCCCGAAGAGTGTCCACCACATTGACCCCCATTGAGTGCATTCACATTTAAATCACCACTAATTACACCACTTTTGGCTCTACTCACGTATCCGCTGACACCCGACGAACCCGTGGTTTGGGATCCGCTCGATGTCGACGACGAGGAAGAGGACCAGGAGCTGGAATCTGATGAGTCCGACTTATGGGCCACTGTTTGGCCGGCAGTTATGCCGTAAACGTGTCCATTCATGTCACCCAAAAAGTCTTCACCACTAGTAGTAGCGGTTCCGGTGTTGAGAGACATGTGTCCGCCAACGGATCCAGTATTGGTTTGACCGGCGATTTGGGATTGACTTTGTCGGTGACCAGTGGTTCCGATGCCACCCAATTGGCCGGTAATTACGGTCTCAGTATTGATCCCGCTTTTGTGGTCAGATTGTGCGCACCCGACGACTGCGATGACCACTCGGACGACCACTCGTTGTTACCGTCAGTCGAGTGTCCCGATTGACCGCCGATAATACCGCCAACACTGCCAACGGTTCCGCAAATGTGTCCCTTTATGTCACTTGAAATATCTTTTCCCGTTGTAGTGGCGGTTCCGGTGGTGACCGAAACGTGTCCAGTAGTGGATCCGGTGTTGGTTTTATCAACAACTTGTAATCACTAATAATTTGTACATTATTTTTAAAATAATAAGTTTTGTTTTCCACAGTATTTGTATTCAACTGTTAATATCAGTCAAAATTGTTTGTTTAATGAAATTTTATTCACAACTTTTGCTTTTATACCCTTTTTTGAGCACATACTTGTCTGCTCTTTAGTTCCGTTTTTGAATTATTGAAAAAATTATTATTTATTTTTATAAAATACTCATTTATTTATAAATCTCATTATTTAAGTGCTCTTAAGCTATACTTTTATATTAATAACAAATATATAAAACACATGCTGTTTGACAATATCTCAATAAATGTATACAGTTTTAAATTAATCATAGTGATTTAATTATATTTTATATAACATTGAAACATTCTATAACATCAACATGTTGTGTTAAATTGTGACTATTTTTATAACTGAAAATATATTGTAATTGTAATAATTTGTTATGTTCTAAAATTGTTAAATTATTATAGTTTAAATAGATATTTAAATTGCAATTATGCAAGTCTTATAATAAAATCTTCTAATGAAATATATTTAATATGATTATCATCAAAGATACGTCGATATGTTTTCTTCGTCCACTTCTAAGGTATCAAATCTCTTAAGATGTGATTCTTTAGCCATATTTAGTAAATGATTGAACATATGTTTCCCAGTCTTGCGGCACATGTCATACAACTGTCCCTTTCGTTGTAGTAAAACAAACGGTTCGTCAAACTCTATGATCTCTCCCGCGTCTAACACCTGATAGCATCAAATTACCATTAGTAGTATATTATTAAAATTATCATGAATTCTAATAGAAATACAAACCAAAACGCGATCGCAATCTATAATAGTGTTGAGTCTGTGAGCGATCGTAAGGACAGTACAGTCACTGAATTTGTGACGAATTGTGGTCTGAATTAAGGCATCGGTTTGATGGTCAACATTAGCGGTCGCCTCGTCCAGCACTAGTACCCTATTGTGCCGCAGTATAGCCCGCGCCAGACATACCAACTGCCTCTGACCTACACTCAGATTAGCGCCCCCTTCGGCCAACTGGCCGTCCAACTGGCCCGGGAGGTCCCCCACCGCCCCCTTCAGCTGCACCTCTTCTAAGGCACTCCATATCCTTTGGTCGCTGTATTCGCCGAAAGGATCCAAATTNATATAATGAACACCAGATGTATAGTCGACTACTTGTGCGACAAAATCCGTATTCTAGTCACACATCAAATCCAATTCATACGAAAAGCGACACAAATATTGGTTTTGAACGACGAGGGAAAGTGTCTGGGATTGGGATCCTATGATGAGCTCCAGTCCCGGGGCTTAGACTTCATGTCTATTCTCAGCGATCAGGAGAGGGAAGCGGACGATAAGGCAGAGCACTATAAGAAGAACAGGGATATAAAACAAACATTTTCTGAAAATACTTATGAGACTAAAATAACATCTCACAACTCTTCATTGCCAGAAAGTTTGATAATAAATGTAATTTATATTTATATTAAATGAAATTTTTATTATAAATAAAATAAATTTCTATTTAGGAGAAAGAAGAGGAAAGCGATCCAAAAATAGCCGATGAGTTCTGGGAAACGGGTCCAATCTCGGGAAAAGTATATGGCACATTTATTAAAGCAGGTGCTGGGCCCTTACTATTTTCGACCACGATTATATTTACAGTTATTGCTCAAGCGATTTATCACGGATCGGACTATTTTCTAACGTTATGGTAAATAAATTAAAATAAAATGACTATGTTAATGTCAAAATATTTATTATTACAACAGGACTGACAAAAATCAAAACACGGTTAACATTAACACTTCTGATCAGAACAGAGATGTGATTATCTACTCCTCAATGATGGCCGCGCTGTTCATCGCATCCCTATTGAGAGCCATCACATGGTTTGTGATGTTTATGAGGGCTTCAGTTAATCTCCACAACACTATATTCTACCGACTATTACGGGCCCCGATATCTGTGTTTGACATCAACCCAGTTGGTTTGTTAATTTAATATAATTATTTAATATATTAAGATATCAATCCCAATATATAATTATAATCATAACCAATAGGTCGGATATTAAATCGATTTACAAAAGATCTTGGTATAATCGATGAGCAGCTGCCAAGCACAGTGTTTGACTTAAACTTGGTAATTTACTATTTTGAACACAATATAAGTTTGAATTTTCTATATAATTTATATCATTATAATTATATGAGTAATTATAAGTTAAATTATGATACAAATGTATGTCTTGCAAACCCATATTGAACTAATGGTTAGTATCTTGGTCGTTACATAACATAAATTACTTATGTATAACGAGGGGAGAATGACATCATTCAACCCGTACTTTATTGATACAAGGTGACAGGAGAGCGAGAGAGGTGTGAGAGGGAAATTAAAGTGAGACAAAAAGAAAGTCAGATTCATATTATAATTAGCAACGTGTTGCTAAGGTCTTTACGATAGTAATATAGGGATTAAATTTTAATTTATTTTAGTAATCACATATCATTGTTTAACTTACTATTATTTATATAGTGTATGACTCAAGGAATTGGTGGAATGATAATGATCGCGATCGTCAACCCATATTTAATAATATTAGCATTTTTATTAATTGCGGTACTTTTAGTAGTTAGGGCTATTTACATCAAATCAGCTAGGGACATTAAACGAATCGAAGGTTTAAGTAAGTTTTAATATTAAAACTATTATTGTATATATAAGAACTATAATAAATTTTACAACAATTTATAGCCCGGAGTCCAGTGTTTTCACACGTGAGCACTACATTCAATGGGTTGTCCAGTGTTAGGGCCTTTGGGGCACAGAAAGTGTTTGAGCAACAATTTTACGTGTACCAAGATGATCACTCGGCCACCTGGATGCTCGTCAACACTGCCAGCTGTACATTTGGCTTAATCACAGACGGACTGTGTTTTTTATATTCTGTAATAATATTTGCGGTGTTTTTGCTATTCCCCGAACAGTTGGGAGCGGGAGAAGCAGCACTTGCCTTAACATCAGGTGTGTTTTGAATCATTTGATTATCAAATAGTAATATAACTAAATAGCCCTAATGTTGACGGGAATGACTCAATGGGGAGCTTTACAGTCGGCTGAGATGGAGAGTCAGATGACTTCAGTCGAGCGCATCATTGAGTACTCAAGACTACCACAAGAGGCGGCCCTAACAGCACATGATAGCCATAAACCCCCTCCCGATTGGCCACAGAAGGGACAGATAGAGCTCAAAGATATGAGTTTGTGTTACGAGGGATCAGACAAACCGGTGCTGAAAAACTTGAATTGTGTTGTAAAGAGTGGTGAGAAGGTAGGGATAGTCGGGCGGACGGGCGCCGGCAAGTCGTCCATCATATCAGCGCTGTTTCGTATGGTTGAGCCAAAGGGGGAGATAGTAATGGACGGCATTAATACGGGATCAATAGGTTTGCATGACTTGCGTCGTGTGCTGTCAATCATACCTCAAGACCCGGTGGTCTTCACGGGAAGTGTGAGAAGAAATTTGGATCCTTTCGGCGAATACAGCGACCAAAGGATATGGAGTGCCTTAGAAGAGGTGCAGCTAAAGGGGGC